CGACTCTTCATTTTGGCTTATCCTATTTTGGCCGGTTCTGACGTCTCCTACGGGATTGACTCGTGGCCCTCTCTACTTTTGTTTTGGTCAGATCGAATGGTTTCTTACAGGATGGTATTGATACACTTGGCGGATTTGCTTTTAGTCTGTCTGCGTGCTTTGGTTATGGCTTAGTCTCTACAATCTGAAAACCATGCTCCCAAAATTGCCTACTTGAATGCGACGATAACAAGCCAGCGTGAAATGTTTCGAAGCGCAACCACGTGCAATTCCAGATCTGTAACTGCGTGATCTAAATGTGCCTATCAGACCCTTGAACACCACGGAAACTCGCGTGCTGAACCGTCTGTGCATGACGTAAGGAGCACCTTGCCTGGCGTCTTCAGGGGACTCCCACTCCTGCCTGACCAAGCCTCGGACATGACTTTTCCCGCCAGCCAACCTCAAGACATGCTGCCATAACGCGACAATCTTTCCAAGTCTTTTGACACCCTCCTTGTCTCCATACTCTCCCACTCTCGCCGTCATGTCCTCCAGCATATTGACGGCCTTTGTGGGCTCTCTTCAGGCGTCCATTAGCGTCCTCCTCACAATATCATACGGCGTGTTGGCTGCGCAATTCAGACTCATAGGCGACAATACCGCCAAAGATCTCTCCAAAGCCTGCGTACGCCTGTTTCTACCGGCCTTGTTGGTGTACAATGTCGGTTCGCAGCTCCAGCATGAAACCGCCACAAACTACGTGCCCATTCTGAGTAATTTGTGACTTTGGACGCCGTCAGGCATGGGCTAAAAGAATCCAGTATTCGCCATAATGACAATTCTCTCATCTGTCGCCTTTGGCAGCATATGCACCAGGTTTTTCAAGCTGCCGGGCTGGATCACGCCCGCAATCGCATTCAACAACACGACATCGCTACCACTGCTCCTGGTGCAGTCTCTGAACGCGGCAGGCGTCTTGGCAATGGTCGACGACTCGCCCGACGTCGTCGAGCGCGCAAAGTCATATTTCCTCGTCAATGCCATGGTCAGCAACAGCCTGACGTTTGCGATTGGTCCCTGGCTGCTCAATAGCCAAGACGACGACTTGTCAGACGTACCAAAGAGAAAACGTCACTCCCACGGCAGCACGACCACGAATGGCTCGTCTTCTGAGAGAAGCGTCGATATCGAGATTGGACGCGTCCGCCAACGTCAGCTGAGCGCCAACTCTGAAGATGAATCTGACGACGCGCTCGTGGACGACTCTGAAGAGACGACGCTCCTCTCGGATAGCGTCGCGCGCAGCAGCGAGCCAGTCGGCTCCCGCATGCTCGCGCTCTGGCAGCACTATTTCGAGAAGCTACCTCGCTGGCTGCAGTCGACTCTGATCTTTACGTTCCAGCTCGCCAACCCACCATTCTTCGGCGCCGTCGCAGGCGCCATCATCGGGCTGACACCCACGTTGCACCGCCTCTTCTTCTCCCCTCCGGATGAAGGCGGCTACTTCAGGGCGTGGCTGACGACGTCGATCAAAAACATTGGCGACCTCTTCGCCGCGCTGCAGATTGTCGTTGTGGGCGTCAAGCTGTGGCAGGCCATGGTGCGGGTCAAGCAGGGCAAGGACAGCGGCGCCGTGCCCTGGCGACTGTTTGTCTTTGTCACTGCCGTGCGCTACTTTGTGTGGCCCGTCCTGAGCATTTTGATCGTTTGGGTCCTGGCGGCCAAGACGGGTCTTTTGATTCGGGATCCGTTGCTTTGGTTTTGCATGATGCTAATGCCGACGGGTCCGCCGGCGTTGAAGCTTTCGGCTCTCGCTGATATTAGCGATGTTGAGGAACACGAGAGGCTGAGCGTTGCCAAGTTTTTGACGGTAAGTCGACCCCTGGTTGGCAAACTTGAGACTGACTTGATTAGTTGTCGTACGTGATATCGCCATTGATCTGTTTCGCTGTGGTTGGCGCCCTGAAAGCTTCACAAGCTGCGCATGGGGTATGAGGCTTGAACGACTGACGATGGACGACTGAACGACAACGGCCATTTAGAAAGAACAATTTGAAATAGACCTACCAGCTCCATCAGCCTCCAAACGCTTGTGTTATACAAGTTGGCCTTTCCGATTTCCCGGTTCACAAAATTTCCAACTCCACCTTGACCCTGACTCCGCGCCAATGCTCGAACCAAACCTGACTGATAGAACGCCCTCCGCGCCAAATACAAATCATCTCTGAGCCTCCGGGACAGCCTCGTCAACACCATCGTACTGCGCTGGACAAGATATCGGACCCGTGGCATTCGACCCAACGTTGCACCGCGCGCTATGCCAAATATTGTTCGTCTTTTCAAACTCAATCGGATTGCCCGAGTCCAGGCCATTAATCAAGCTGTCATGAGCGCCTGCCATCTCGTGCTGATGAAAGAGTTCCGGGTTGACGGCAAAGCACGTCAACTGGCCCCTCTCGCAGGCGAAATGCAGCCACACGTCAAACGCAACCGAGTTGCCCGTCGCCGTGCGCAGGATCTTCTCAGCGCTGTGCCGCGTCACGGCATACGCGAAACTGCACACGGGCGAGCCGCTCTGGTAGACGAAGCGGACCCCCTTTTCTTGGACGGCCGACTGCGTGACTGGCGGCAGTGAAGAGTCGTTGTATCGGTAAATGGCGTCCGGGTCCTCGGGGACCGCGCTGCCGCAGTGCCCCAGCCAGAGCACATCCCATGCCAGGCCGTACGGTGCGTCGTCCAGCTCCGCCTCCAGCTTAGCCGCCTGACCGACGACGCGGCCCAAGGTCAGCATGTACTGCGGATGCGACAGCGTCCAGATGGCCTTGGCCACGTCGACGACCTGCTGCTTGACGGCGACGTCCCAGTCCATGTCGTCCTCGAGGATCAGGGCCGTGGAGAAGTTGGCGGCCTGCCGCAGCGTGTACAAATGGCCCAGCCAGGCCTTTGCGGCGCCGTCGCTGGGACTGTCGCCGCCGTCGCGGGTGTGCTCGACAAAGGCGTGCTCGTCGGCGTCGGTCCACTGCGGCTGCGTCGGGTACTGTATCTCGAGTCCTGTGAGCGTGGCCGCGTCGACCATGCCGTCTTTGCGCCAGCGCAGCCGCTCCGGCATCGAGTGCGGCGTCACTGCCAGGATCGCTTCAAACTGTGCACGCGTTAGCGCTGTTGTTAAAATGGAACTCCCTTCTGTTCCGAGTCGATGTCGACACGGACGGACAGCCTCACCCCCAAGGTCGCGTTCCCAGCGCGCCGGTGCTGCTCGAGGCGCCGTGACGTCACAAACGTGGAATTCGGCAGCCAGAGCAGCCGCACCAGCGCGGGCAGAAGCCATAGGCCCAGGAACGTGAAGAGAAAGACAGACGCCCACGCCAAGAGCGCGCGCCGCGACTTCATCTTTCGGGGAAGATGGTGCCCAGCGTGGTGAGGACCTGGCGATGGGGTCGGACGGCTGGACCAGGTCTGTATGCCTTCTCGCTATGTACGCACAGGAGAGGTGGACGGCGTCGTCCCCTTCTGAGAAACGCAGTCGCACAGCCCTTGTACAATACAGTGTCACCGGCGCTTAGTAGACGATTTCGCGCGGGGAATGGGGAGGAGACCCGCGTTGCGATCTATGCGGGACTATTCGTTCGCAAAAGTGTTCCTCTAGTCGCGCGCGCGCGCAGTTGGTTTTGGGGGAGATGTATTTTTCTTGTTTTTTGGCCCCCCTTGAGCGACTCGTACGCCAGCGTCTTGGCCCAGCTCGATTGGGGCGACGATGTGGGGCCCCTGAAATTGAGCCGCGTGGATTTTTTGTCAAGTGTCAACGAGGTCGACGCAGGACGTCTGGCGTCACGTGGTTGGTGGACTTTTGGGTTCTCGGTCCTTCGTCGTCTACCCAGATGGACATGCAGCGGCGGCGTCGCGGGATCGAGAAAGACGAATCCGTTGGTCAAGGAGCGATTTGAAGGAGGAAGAGGGGCGATGTCGTCCTGGGAGAAGCCCTCGTTGCATGAAGAGCGTTGAAAGGTTGTTGTCTGTTTGACAGCCAGACAAACGACAGCAGCCCTTTTTCCCTCTCTTCCTCTTCCTCTTCCTCTTCCTCTCTCTGTTTCCAATTTTTCCCCTTCGATAGGTCCCCGGTGCACGCAGTCGTCCCTTGTTACCAACCGCGCCTTTTCCCTTTCCGGCTGTCGCTCAACTCCTTGCTGGCCGGTTCACGCGGGGGCATTCTTCTCGACCTTTCTTTTATTTCTTTGACGCCGCTGCTCGGCAAGGAAGCTTCCGAGACTGACTGGCTGACTGACTGAGACCGCTGGCTGTCCTCATGCGTCCATGGAGAAAGATATTTCGGGTGCATGAAGACCTAGGTGCGGCTGGTTCGACGTGTTCGGCGCCCTGCATGGTTCCGTTGGATTTGGTCTTTGATGTGCGACAAAGCGGCGAGCGACGACTCTGGGCTGTCTCCAGCAGCTTTCATGACGGCTGTCTGATTCTCTCGCTGCGGTCCGGGCTGTCGTCGTTAGCGGCATGCAAGGGCGCCGGCGGCGGTGGCGGTGGTCGCACGTGTTTTGGCACTTGAGGAGCTCATTGCTGGCTCGCCGGTCAAAGTTTGGTTCTCACCTCAGTCGCCCGTCGTTTTTCCTGCCTTGGGCCGATTCCTGTGGTCGACGAAAGTTGGTAAAGTCGCGTGTTGGGTCACGGTTCTGAGCATGACTGCGGCAAGGTACCATGGTTGAGGGTGACAGCTTCTCCTCTTTCATCATTTCAGGTCTTGTGTTTCTCCTCTTGCTGTCGCTTGTTCGTTCAACTTCGACACCTAAGTTTTGTTTATTTGGGCCCTCACTTCACTCCAAATATCTCAAACTCAACATTGAGCTTCCTCAAAAGTCAGATTTCTTCATTTTTGCTTTCGTAAACCCTCAGTTCGCTGTCAGAGATCAGGAGAACAATCAAATGTTATACATAATGCATGCTGGTGTTTCTATTTTCAACAATCCCACCCTGGCGATTTACGAAATCACCAACATTCGGATTCTCTGGGTCGCTTAGCTCAGTTGGTTAGAGCGTGGTGCTAATATCAAGTTAACGCCAAGGTCGCGAGTTCGACCCTCGTAGTGACCATCCCAGTAATTCTTTTGCCTCCTGTTCAACCGGAGGTCTTTTCTTTTGGCCGCTGTCATTGTCTGTCCCTTCTCTTTTGGCTGCTTTCTCCAATGTCCTTTGTGGCCCAGAGACTTGAAGAGCGGGACAGATCGAGTGTGGTTGTAATGGTCCTTGTAGAAGTCAGACACTTGCATCGTCCTCTTGGCTTTTGTCAAGGATGAAGCGTCGCTGACACGGCCGCACAGCGTTGTCTGTCACTGTATCATGGAAATTTGCGGATTGGGTGGGTTGGGTTCGTTGCTCTTTTGCATGCAGTATCGCATCGCGGAAGTCACTCGGAAGGAAGTTCGCAAGTTCGACACGAGACTTCCCGCAAGAGCAACATGCCCTTTCACGAGGATTGATGCCGCTTGGGCTGTCTGCAGGAACGGCAAGTGCTGGCGTTGCGTGTCTGCCAGAAACGGAAAGCGCTGTCGTGCAAAAACAACTCACCTCTGAGCCCAGGCAAGACTTGCTCTTCACTCATCACAATCATCTTTTGGTCACGAAGCAGCTATTCCGCAGCAGAACTTGCCTCAACATTGGCACGACGATCCATTATTCGACATGGCGCCCCTCTTCAAGCTTCTCCTACACGCTCCGCTCCTTTTGGGCGTCTCACTTGCCCAGCAACCCCAGAATCGCCCGGCTTTGACTTATACGATGCCCACCCCAGGCCCGCAGTATGTCTGAGTTCTTCCTTGATCCTCTGAATCTAACGATTTGTTAGAGCCACAGGAGGAATTTGGAACATGATCCTCGGACCGGGTGCATTTCCCAAGATGGTGTCGCCCTGGGATGGTCGAAACTTGACAGAGGGAAACCCTGTGAAGTTAGACTTGAAGAGTTCTCCCAAACAGCGGAAGCCAAGCACTACCAGGTGGGTTTATTTCTCTCTTGCGAGGCAACAACTGATGATATCACTCGCAGTCCTATCTTCTGGCCTACCGTTTGCCCCCCGAAGACCTTCAGCTTCGGCGACTTTTTTCCAGAAAACACGAAATCATCTTACAAGACACACCACAGAGGCATTTGTCAAACCACTTGCATGCGACAATACCTGACGCCGGTGGTTTCAACCGTGAGCGGCTACAAGGGATCCAATTGCAAGCAAGTCACGAAAGTTGTCACGTACACCGAGTCCCCCCATTGGGGAGACGCCCATGGCAGGTTGATTCCCAAGGGGCTGTTCTACTCACTGGCAGGCCTCAACACGACGGCAACAAATACGCCTCAACACTGCAAAAAGACGAAGGGCAGAAAGAGGCCGTCGAGAACGATAGGGAAGTCGTCGAAGCCAACCTCGTCCAGCAAGAAGGGCAAGAAAAACACTCCGCCCCCCGTACCAGAATGCACCAGCTTCGAATCTTGCTATCGACGCTGCGAAATGACCACGAGGCGAGAAAAGAAGGTCACGTACGCGCTCCTTTTGCTCCTCGGTGGCTTCGCAGGCGCCGTTGTCGCATTCGTCATCATCAGAAAGGCCTATCGGAATAGACGTATCGTCCGTCGCAGAGAGGCCAGCGGCGGCGAATCAGGACCTCCTCCAACTTTTCACGACCCGCCGGTGACGGAAGAGGTCGTCGAAGTTGTGGAGGTGGAGCCGAGGCCCGAAGAGAAGACTGTTGTGCCCGTAGAGAAGACTGCTGTAGAGAAAGTACCAGCTGTCATCGTTGAGAGGCCAACGCCTACGTCACGAAGATCTGTGGTCGCAGACGGGGCGTCGGACAATGTCGACGAACGCGACCCCGGTGCACGTCTCAGGGTGCCTCGAGCAACGGGCAGTGGTTCGCCGATTCAGAGCGTGGTGCGAGGTTGAGGGCTTGACGAGATGCGAAGAGGAAGCTGGTAAATCAGTTTGATGGACGGGTTGATGGGTCAGTGTTGGTAATGGTTTGGACGTCTTGACTTTACGTCTTGACTTTCAAGGAGTGGGAGTTGACGATCCCAGTCTGGGTATCGCTCGAGTCACTTTGATGCTTGCTGGAAGTGGTATGCGGGCGTTGACGGTCAGGGTTGAAGAGGTTGGCCGTTCGTCTGGTTTATTCGTCTCTTTTTCCTCCAACATGCCCTATCCTCTTTCTTCCTTTCACTTCCCTAGGCGCTCCGATTGCTATTCGTAGTCTTGGAATCAAAACGACTGTTCCTAGTTGTCTTGCACAGTTGGCGTCCTTGTCCAGTCCACTGCATCTGTCCATTGCATCACTTGCAGAGGAAGTTGATGAGCTTGTCGACGTTGAACAAACAAGTGGTGTAAGGGAATCCAGGTGCAACCTGTACACATGGACAAGCATGCAAGTTTCCGAAACCAGAAACGTCACCACCACGCTGGCATCCCTGCAAGATCAAACGTCTGAAAGCGTTCCGACCCGCCCCCAAGCCGTGACCAATGATCATGCTCGAGCAATGAGAAGAGGGAGATGATCCGGAGTACGTCGTACACGCAGCCGATTTGCAGTGTTTCAAGCGGGTGCGGAAGACGTCGCCGCCGTCAATTATCGTCCATCGGGTGCAAAGCGGATAATGTGGTTGCAGTGGGATCTTGAAAGAGGATGAATGTGCCCATGCACGTGTGGTGGTCGTTGGTGGTGATTCGATGTCAGGTCAAGGTCCGCACTCGGCTGTTTGCTGGGCGGGCGAGGCCGATGTCGGGGACGCGTGAGGCTGGCCGGGGTACGAAAAACACCCGGACCCGGCGTCGACAGTCATCACCATCACCGCAATAGGTCGCAAAATGTCTTCGCATACCGCTTCGCAAAGATACCTCAGCACAAGAGGAGGATCTTATGATGTACGTCCCTCCTTCCGCGGCGCCAATTCCTCGCTCGCCGCGCGCGCTGAAGCCATGCGCTGAGTCGTCCGCACCAGCTGTCTTTTGAGGATGTCGTCTTGAAGGGTCTCGCCAACGACGGAGGCCTCTTCATTCCCGAGGAGATTCCTTCCCTGCCTGCCGACTGGGAGTCCAAATGGAAGAACCACTCGTTCGAGGAGCTCGCCTTTGAAATCTTTTCCCTCTACGTCTCCCCCTCCGAGATACCCGCCGCCGACCTCAAGGAGCTCATCCGCAAGAGCTACTCGACCTTTCGCGCCCAGGACCGCACGCCCACCGTGACGCTGGACGAGAAGAACAATGTCCACCTCCTCGAGCTCTTCCATGGCCCCACCTTTGCCTTCAAGGACGTCGCTCTCCAATTCCTCGGAAACCTGTTTGAATACTTTTTGGTCAGGCGCAACAAGGGAAAGGCTGAGAGCGACAAGGAGCACTTGACCGTCATTGGCGCCACCAGTGGAGACACTGGTTCCGCTGCCATTTACGGTCTCAGGGGCAAGAAGGATGTCTCGGTCTTCATCATGCACCCTCGGGGCAAGGTCAGCCCCGTTCAAGAGGCGCAAATGACGACGGTCCTGGATGCCAACGTCCACAACCTCGCGGTGGATGGCACGTTTGACGACTGCCAGGTAGGAGGCTGATTCTCGACGGCTACATCCCTCTAACACTCTACAGGACTTTGTCAAGGCCCTCTTTGCCGACGAGGCCATCAACAAGACCCACCGCCTCGCCGCCGTCAACTCGATCAACTGGGCTCGCATCCTCGCCCAGATCACCTACTACTTTGCCGCCTACTTCTCCCTCATCCGCTCCCCCTCGTACACCGCCGGCTCGCAGGTTCGCTTTGTCGTTCCTACTGGCAACTTTGGCGACATTCTGGCTGGGTACTTTGCAAAGCGCATGGGCCTGCCAGCGGAGAAGCTCGTCATTGCGACCAACGAGAATGACATTCTCAACCGGTTCTGGAAGTTTGGCCACTACGAGAAGAAGGCCGTCCACGGCCGCGAAGCCGAGGGTGGCCTCAAGGAGGACGGCGTCGAGGCACATGCCGAGGGCGTCAAGGAGACGCTGAGCCCCGCCATGGACATTCTCGTCTCGAGCAACTTTGAGCGTCTGCTCTGGTTCCTCGCGTACCAAGTGTACGGCGCGTCGGCCTCGTCCGTCGCCGAGAAGCGCAAGATTGCCGGCGAAAAGGTCCAGGGCTGGCTCAACGATCTCAAGACCAAGGACGGCTTCGGCGTCGAGCAGGCCATCCTCGACGCCGCCAGCGCCGACTTTGAGTCCGACCGCGTGTCCGACCAGCAGACGCTCCAGACCATCAAGGACGTGTACCTCTCCACCGCCTCCCAGGCCGGCCCCAAGGCCTCGGCCAACAACGGCACCGCCGGCACCCTCACCAAGAACGGCAACTACATCCTCGACCCGCACTCGGCCGTTGGCATCGCCGCCGCCCTGCGCTCCGTCGAGCGCGTCCCCGCGTCGACCCACCACATCTCCCTCGCCACGGCGCATCCCGCCAAGTTCTCGAGCGCCGTCGAGCTGGCTCTCGTCGGCCAGCCCGACTTTGACTTTAAGACGGTGCTGCCCGAGCAGTTTGTCGGGCTGGAGGACAAGGAGAAGCGCGTCACCGTCGTGCAGAAGAGCGAGGGTCTGAGCGGTATCAGGAGTCTGATTGTCAAGAGAGTAGAGGATGAAAAGCTTGCTGCGTAGGGTTTTACGGGGCCTTTCGGTTTATTTGGCGGCTACGCGCAAAATAGCATAGAGGGAGCTGCATGATAGACAAAATATGATTGCTTGATGGCCTTGATTGTAGTCTGGTGGATGTGAGGGTAGCAATCACGATTCAATCTACGGTAATGGGACCAGTGACTGGCGCCAAACAAGACAGAGAACGGGTGGACAGGTAGTGTTGACATCAACGTAAGAGCGCGGACAGGAAGCATTCCATGGTTAGCAGCCACAAGCACAGGGAGCATTCGATCAAGTAGCCAAATGGACCTGGAGCATTCGAGGGCTTGCAGTCAAGCGGACAGGGAGCATTCGTTAGCTGTAGCACCCACAAGACGGAGGGCTGGCGGTCATGGCGAGGAAGTCACGCCCAAGACAGTGGGCGACAGAGCCGGAGCGGAAGGAGCGCGCCCACAACACC